CAGTCGCTCTCCACACGGCCACTTGAAGTAGGTGCCTGAAGTCCCCTTTTTCTTCCAGCAGATGGCACTGCCCCATCACATTCCAGAGCCAGTGGGCGGAGCCTTTACCCACCTGCTGGGTATTTAATTTAAAGGCATAGTACAGATTTTGCAAAGTCAATCCATAAATGCCCACAGATCAATAAAATAAAACATTTTTTTTTTGCATTTGAGCCTGCAAAGCATTGCAGCTGTGATCAGCGGATGATGGGCGCAATGCTCTGGCTCCTGCAGACTCTTCGTCCCAGCTCCTGTGCATACCAAGGTACAGACCCTCAGCTAAGGGACGGGAGGAAGTGTGAATGGGCTACGTGTGCGATGATGTCACCACATTCGTACTCCATTGAAAAGTAGGAGTACCTCTGCCATGGTGGAAGATGGGACATGTAGTCTCTCCATTCACAGACCCTGAACTCCAGGTAGATGTAAAATACACAGATGATTTCAGATCTGCCCGGTCACACTATTGGGTTGTGTTAGTGCCTATGTATTAACATGCGTTTTGCTGTTCATTAGTGTGCGTTGCTTTAATGCCGCCCATTCATCGGCAAGTGAGTGTAGGGGATGCCATTAATGAATGGCACGGCATTGCACCAATGTGCTGAATGAGCGTTACTGATAATGGGTGCAACAGTGTAAACGGGTCTTTACATAATAAAATGTATTTTCAAAATATAAGCAGTGTAAGGAGCAGAATTATCTCACAGCCCTTGTACAGAGAGAGAAGGAAGTAGTGCAAAGAGACAATCAGCTCATGTGTTGACAAGAAGCACGCTGATAGGAGGAAAGAGCAGAGTGACTGGGAGATGAGTGATCTGATCACAGTGTCGCTTCTCCTTTCACTGTCCAGTCACAGGCTGGGGGCAGGTCCAGGATGACCTGGGCTCAGAGGAAGCGGATGTAATAATGCTAACCATCAGACTGAGGACATCTAGTGGCAGAAAAAAAGCACTGCAGGGAATTTTTTTGGATTAAAGGTGAAATTTGCAGTAAAAATTGGTTTTGATATTTTATCTTTTTTTGAGCAATTACATTTAAATTATGGTGGCAACAAAAAAATAAACTTTCTTTTTTTTTAAAAAGTATAATTTGGTAATACTAACATGCATTATTCATTTATATGAGGGGTCCACTTTAAACAGATTATTTAAGTGGACATCTGGTTCCTGGTAGAGGCAGTTGCTGAACAGGAAGTTGCCTGTGCTCAAGCAAAAGTCTCCCCCCCAACATGAGAACTTCATCTCCATTATTTGCAATGACTCTTTAAAACAAACAAAAAACTGCATTTTGGTCTGACTGGCCCTTTAAGGGTAGAAGGCGCACAGGATGCTCCCTGTGTCTGTGCAATTCCAGGTCAGGTAACACATTAATTTAGGAAGCTGCACTGGCCAATCAGGCGGCAGATCCCGGGGGGCGTGTTTTTTTTTTTAATTGATAGGCACCCAGGGCCAGACTTGTGTGTGTTCAGCTGACCCGTCTGATTCTTGGCTCCATGATGATCAGTCTCCAGGAGCTGTGTGCTGGGCTTCCCCTCCACCCTCTGCCCCTAAAGAGGGGGAGAGATAATGGGGTGCCCCACGCTCCAGTCCGCACACCCCAGCTCTCAGAGCAGGAAGAGAAGGTAAGTTCATATAAAGCCACAGTCACACAATATATATATATACACCTATACTATATACTTATAAACCATATAAGATGGGTAACTTCTGGGAGACACTTCAACACAGTAATGGAGCCGTAAATTTCAAGGTCCCCCCCCCCAACAGTTTAGCACCACATAATTTGCTCTGTCCTTCCCATTTTCTTTATACATCATATTATTTGTATTTATTTTTACTTAAAAAAAAAGTGTGTATGTGTATATATATATATGTGTGTGTGTGTGTGTGTGTGTGTGTGTGTGTGTGTGTGTGTGTTTTTGGTTTGTTTAAATTTGTAACAATTACTAATTCATCTATTTCATGTATAAGTTTTTAACATTTTTGTGCTGAAAATTAATTCTGATGCATTACAAAGATGAGACAAAAAGTGTCCTTTTCCAATGAGATGTAACAAAATTGATTATTTTTTAAATTTGTCTACCAGTTGGGCTGGATATTTCAATTAACAAGTTGGTAATCCCACTAATTTTAAATGAAGCCCTCCTTTTTTATTGAATTTTTTTTTTTTTTCTGTCGCTGTGTTTTGAATATAAAAAAAAAAAAAAGGTAAGGCTTGATGTGTGTGGTTAGGATTTTTTTTTTTAAAAAACCTTGTTAAAGACGCACTTTAGACTGAATAAGCTGCCCCAACAGGCATGTTAAGACACAGAAATAAACATGCGTTAACCTGTCTGGAAGGCAAAAATTTCCAGACACACTAAAAAAAAAAAATACATTGACTTTTAGGGTTAAAAACAGGTGTTTTTAGTTGCACAAGTTTTGCGAGATATGTGGCGGCCGCACACCATCGTCAAGGCTCCTCTGTGTAGTGCGGGCCTAAAGCTGGCCATGCACCTTACAACCAGCGCACGACTTTCGTTATGCGATGGTTGTAAGGTCATTTAAAGGGGAACTATGGGGTTAAGGCTTTGAGGACGCAGCTGCAGGTCCGGGAGTAGAGTCGCCACCTGTCCCGGATTCAACTGGACAGTCTGGGTTTTGAGTCCTGTACGTGCTATTTTAGGGTATCGGGCACATTGAGGATCTAAATCCCGGACTGTCCTGGTGAATCCGGCACATGTGGCAACCCTATCCGGCAGCCTGGACTTGGACGCAGTGTGCAGCCTCATCCTCCCATAGGGATTTACTGGCGGCTACACCCAATTGCACACAGCACCTATCCCCACGGTTTTCAGTGCTGGGGTGCGGTGGCGTTAATCACGTGACTCCCCATTGAGATCATGTGAATTCCCCAGAGTGACCCATCAGAGCTGTGACGATTCTTTCCAACATTAGAAGGACTCGTCGTGGCCTCCTAATTGGCCTCATTGGAGGCCGCTAATACCCAGCCTTGTGCCGCGTTGGCGAGCTGATGTAGAGACGGTAAATGGGAGTTTCAGGATTGGACGTTCCATGTGCGCGCACTACAAATTTGGAGAAAATATTGCTACCCAAGCCACCAGCTCGGAGCTTCTAGATCAGGGGTAGGCGATGTCGGCACTCTAGTGAAACTACAAATCCCGTCGTGCCTCAGCCTTTTGGGAGTCTTGGCTGCCAGTCTTGCAGTGCCTCATGGGACTTGTAGTTCCACAACAGCTGAGGTTGCCCACCCCCCATTCTAGACTGCTACATGGAATATCCAAATCTTGTATCTGTGCGGCGGCGGGTGAACGCAGCATTGGTGCGGCCATGTTTGTTTTGTCTGAAGCTAACATTGTGTAAGCGCCGGGTGATGGAAGGAAAACATGACACGGTTCTCCTCGCAGACGCATCAGGTTAATGATTGTCAGCTCTTGTGTAACAGCTGCTTAGTAAATTTGTAGCTGCGAGACGTCCTCAGGGTGTCCGCCCCCACCGCCGGCAATAACAAGACATTTGTTTTCCTTCCAGGTGCAAACTCTGCAATTTTCTACTTTTATTTGCTGCCCAAACAGCCCCGGTGTATGGGGGGAGGGGAATTATTAATTAAAGTTAACTTTAGGCAGATATAAAAAAAAAAACTCTTATTTCCTGCGGCTCTATAATCATTAATACATCACTACATTTATTTCTGTGTGGCCTGGTATCAGCAGTCTCTGTACAGCAGGGCTGGAGTGTAAGGGGAAGAAGCTGTACAAGGGGCCAATCGGTTTGTGCTGACAAGAAGCATGCTGATGGCAGGAGAGGGCAGAGAGATGAGCTCATCACTGTGCAGCTTCTCCTTTCACTGTCCAATCAGTCTGAGGATGAAGTGGGTTGAAAGATGCTGGACCCACCCCAGACTGTGATTGGACTTTGAAAGGCAAAGCTGCACACTGATGCTGGCCAGCATCATTCAACCCACTTCCTATGAGCCCAGGTCATCCTGGACCTGCCCCCAGTTTGCGATTGGGACAGTGAAAGGAGAAGCTGCACAGTGGTGCTGGTCAGCATCGTTCAACTCGCTTCCTCTGGACCCCACCCCAGACTGTGATTGGACAGACTGAGTAGGTTGAACAATGCTGGCCAGCATAATTGTCAGCTTTTCCTTTCATTGCCCAATCACAGTCTGGGGATGGGTCCAGGATGAACTGGGCTCATAAGAAGTGGGTTGACTGATGCTGGCCAGCATCACTGTGCTGCTTTTCCCTTTCCTGCCCAATCACAGTCTGGGGGTGGGTCCAGGGTGACCCGGTTGAATGATCCCGGCCATCAGACTGAGGACATCTAGTGGCAGAAAAAAAATACTGCAGGTAAATTTCTGGATTAACCTAAATATTGTTCTTTTCTGTTTTTGTTGTTTTTGGCTGGAGTTCTGCTTCCGGCTGGAGTTCTGCTTCCAAGTCTAAAGCTGAAATTTAGATTTAGAGTGGGGAATTGTTAATAAGTTTACTTGCTGGTATTGTGCCATTGGGGAGAAACAACTTTTGATTTAACTTCACTTGCTGATCCCCCGGATACAACCCTAAATGCGTAGAAATCTGACCGTAGTTGTCACTGGAACAGGTGCCCCCATCAGAAAATGTCCCCTCTCTTCCTGTTTCAGTGACAACTAGTAAATAATTTCCCATCGCTTTCTGTCTTGGCAACCAGGACAAACAATAGGGGTGCAGTGAAGTCGCGGGCATCGATAAAACCTGGACAGGGTCCTCGCTCTTCTACATTCTATCAACAGTTTTGCAAAAACAAACTTTGGGCTTTTAATATAATATTTACTGTCAAAGTTTTAGACGAGACTAACAAAGTTACAGCAGGTATCACATATCTTAAATGTAGAAATATATTCAAGACAGGTCAGGTATCTGCATAACATTGACCTGCATGGCAGAGCAGACATATCAGATGGTTACACATAAACAAAAATAAAATTGGCCTTTCTTTAATGAGCTCATAGCAGCAACATCAGAAGACCAATAGGGGGGGGGGGGGGGGGGCGGGTAAAAGATCAGGAAGGTATCCAGGACATTAAAGGAGAACTATGGGGTTAAGGCTTTTCCCCATAGTTCTCCTTAGGGTAATGGGAGGACACAAACTAGCTACAGCTCGCGGTATACCGAGCCGCTGAAGCGGATCCTGACAATTATGCCGGGATCCGCCCAGCTGCGTGAGTGACTGCTGGCTCAGTGAACTTGTATTGGTTGTAATCTGCGACCCAGTTTGGATGCAGCCCGAGCATAACCGAAGTCTTCTTTCGGATCCTACAGATGTATCCTTTTGTTGTTGGTGTTTTATTACATTGTTACCATTTCCTCTTATGTTCTTTTTTGCCTTTTTAGCTCGCTCTGGAGAACGCCTTGCGATATTTCCCCCCGGAACATCATGGGACGTTGGCTCCGGAATTCGTGGATGAGCTGCGGAGTTTTGGACACATTTACATGTACCGCTTCTGCCCCAATATCCGCATGAGGTAATTCCCTGACATGTAAGCTGCGAAAAAAATTTGGTTTGATTCGGATACTTCGGGATTCTGTTAGTTTCAGATGAGATTGCGAATACTACAGAAAACCATATACAGATATTAATATTAAAGCTGAGGCTCCCAGACCCAATTGGCACTCGGGATCCGAATTTCCGAATTGCATTGGGGAGCTCCCCAATGCCATTCAGATCTGGGAGCCATATACATAGAATACGAAAGCTGAGGCTCCCCAATGCACTTGGGAAATTCGGATCCTGAATGCCATTCGCGTCAGCTTTAGTATATGTATATACTGTATATGGCTCCCATGTTGCCATAACAAAAATTCGTGTTAAGACCCATTCGGAGGCATTAAGCCACAAAAGTCACGTGTCTGATTTCAGTTTAGTTTTTGAACGAAATTTCGGACGGGATCCGAAATTCGTAAACTGAAATTCAGATGCGTTGGGATTCTAGTAATTCCCCGCCCCCTTATCATAGTAAAATAACCCTCCTCC